AAGTAGAATATTTCCCTCTGAAATGTAGTGAAGTATGAGGTAGCATAAAATGGAAATACCTCTAAGTTGTACCTAAATACAGTAGTTGAATAAATATTAGTTATTTACACAAGAAAATCCTGAATGAAATATGCTGAATATGATTAGTTCAAAGTTTAGTGTAATACCCAGTAGCAGCCACTAGATGCCACTACAGCACAGGTTTTTAGTAACTGTTGTGCTACAGTGACTCCACTAACGAACATCTTTATTGTTGTTTTGATGCCATTTTCAGTTCAGAAGAAACAAGTAAAACACTAGACAGTAGGTCCAGCATTGTTTCTTGATTTATTAAAAAAATTAAATAAATAAAAAATTCAGTTTCAGTCAGTAGCTGTTAACACTTTTTTCTCAGACAAAAAAAAATCTTCCAGTGTAAGAAGAAAAAATGCAAACTCTTGCCTGTAACAGATAGAATTTGGGTCACTGATCAGTTTGTTAACATCTCCCTAATCCGTCTCCGAACACAGGCCGGGTTTAAAGCTTTCACGAAGGCCCGGTGCGCGCTCACGTGCACGCAGGCCGATGCTGACGGCTCAGCGAGCCTCATAGCGTGAGAAGGTTGAGGAAGTGGCTGGTGTGAGAATGTTGCCACCGCAGCCCAGCGGCAGCTCACACTGAACCCTGCGGTCGTCTCACTTCGCCCTCTGAACCTCCACCAACCTGCTTTCAGCTTCCTCTGAACACGACAGCAGCAGGCCCACACGTGCCGGGCTTGTGATTAACATTGCTAAGTTTATCTCATAGGTTAGATTTTTTCCCCCCAGATTCACTAGGTTTGTTTAAGTTCCTTTTGTCTACTATTCATGCAAATCGAGCAAAATGAACATCGCATATGTGACGTACAGGTCATTTGGGGAAAATGACAAAAAAGCTCAAGTTGTGACTCGTCATAAATAAACTTTTAGTGCCAGGTGGTTTAAAAAAAAACAAAAAAATCCTGTGCTTTTTAGTGCAATTATGCAGCTGTGACGAACTCTTTTGCGACCAACAGTCNGAATTAAATAATTTAAGTACATCTAAGTTAAAACAGCGACATTGCTCGTTAGCTTAATGTAGACTTAATTCAATTTAATCAACTCATTTAAGTTGATCCAACAATTCTCTTTTTTCAGTGTAATAGGACACAATCAGGGGAATTATGGTTAAATATTAATATAGTGCAATATGAGGCTGCAATTTCTGCCCTATTCTGTGGTTTAATACCAATATGTGTAATAAACTGATTTATTTGTGAGATGATATACATTTAATGTTTATAAGAGCCTCTGACTTCTTTGTGTCCCGGCTCTGAAACGAACCTACGCCCTTGTTGAAGATGCCTTCGCTTAAATGCCTCATATTTGAGCTCCTGCATCCTCTCGAGAAGGCAATGTCTTAAAAACGCTACGGTGTGATTGTCAAACGCAGGCCTGACCCAACCTGCTACAACTAGAGAAAGTTAAAAGTGTTTATGATGCTCAAGAGAAAAGTGGGACTGGGTGAAGTAGAGGAGAAAAGGAACGTAGAGGGGAAAGTGATTTAGAGAGCGGTTGAGGTATGTAATAGAGACAGTGAGGTGTGATTTAGGGCTGAGAGGAAAATGGGGGAGTGGGGGTACGTTCCTGGCAAAGATTGAGTGTCATTTCATGCGGGAGTGAGTGGAGAAATTATTGCATGGCTGCTACACTAGCTGACTATAGATGTGACACATCGCTCATAAGGCTGCTATCCTAGCTGAATGGGAATTACCCCATTAACGCAAGCTGAATGCTAACTGCTACGGCACATATTGGGCTGGCAGCAAAGTGCTGAGCTGGCTAATGACCGTATGTCACTGTAATGGTGTGTCTCTATCAAGTGGCCCTGCCTCTGCGGGACTCTTAGTCTTCATCGCCCCCCAACTCTTCTTCTTCACCCTGACGCCGGATGACCTTCCAACTGGAGCCTAAGACGAAGGAGTCGTCCCCGCGAGAGCTTTCTCACATCACGCATTCTACACGGCAGCACACGTACCTTTTTATAAATCATCCTCTGCTTTTAAGCTCCCCGGCTCGTAGACAGATGGGGTTTTTTTTAAAACAGTGTTAAATAAAGAAAGATT